CAAACTCAGATCACATGTCCACCACAAAGAATCAAATTTTTTTTTTTTCTTAAGTGCATACACGTGTCCATTTCGCTCAGGCCTTGGCGGCTTGGGGAGTGGAAGTCGGAACAGCTGTATCAGGAGCCCGGGCGGCCGTGCTCTTGAGGTCCAACAACCCATCCTCCTTGAGCTTGGGGTCGAACCGGAGCACCTCCTTGCAATTCCGCGCCTTGAACGCCGCCTCTAGCTCCCTCTCCACTCGTCTCGCTACCTCCTTCAGTGCCTTGGCCTTGGGAGGACCGGGAGCAGCATAGTCCACTGACTTCTTCTCTTCCTCTGAACACACAAAAGGATAAAAAGGAGATACGTAGGTTCATCATTGGGTGCATGTAGGTTTCAGATCATCTCTTGTATCATGCGTATTGAAACGGAGCAACACCAAAAGCAGGAAGATGCACATGTGGCTGCGGAATGCACAAGCATGTGGAGGCTGCTCATTATTCCAGAGGGTAAAAAGCCCCGTCCTTTGATCCACTCTCGTTCTTGTTGATACAGTCACATCATGGTCTTGGAAGGCCGAGGAAGGACCTGTACCTTTACTAGAGCTGGAAGATTCCTTTCTGTCACTCACCAGTCATGAGGGGCTTGCAGTCAAGAGGGTTCTCCCACCGGTTCTGCTCCGGCCCCTCGTCATTCCCCGGGGGGGCAGCCCCGTTCTCTGCAATCCACTGGTCCTTGATTGCCTCTAGCACCGCCTTGGAGGGGCGCGTGATGTGGGTCACCTTTATCCACGCACATGCACTAGGTACCCGCGCGAAGTGCAGCCGCATGCTCTGGTACACCTGGGAGGGGGAGAGGGGAGGAAAGAGGGACGGAGGGGAGGAGGGTGTGTAGGAAGGGGAAGTGGGAGGGTTGCAATCAACAGCGTTCTCCCACCGGTTCTGCTCCGGCTCCTCGACATTCTCCAGCGGGTTCTCTGCAATCCACTGGTCCTTGATTGCCTCTAGCACCGCCGTGGAGGAACGTGTGATGTGGGTCACCTTTATCCACGCACATGCGCTTGGCACCCGCGCAAAGTGCAGCCACATGCTCTGGTATACCTAGGGGGTGGGGGGTGGTTGGGTTGAGAGAAACGTGTGATGTGGGTCACCTTTATCCATGCACATGCGCTTGGCACCCGCGCAAAGTGCAGCCGCATGCTCTGTTATACGTGGAAGGGGGAAAGAGAATGGGAGGAGGAGAAGGGGCAAGGGTGTGTGTGCGGGGTTGGGATGGGGACGGAGGAGGAGAACTTTGCAGGACGGCCGGGCAAAGTACAGCCGCATGGCGAGGCCTGCAAGCACCTGTTGAAAGTCCCCTCTTTCTGACCCTGCTCACCTGGCGAGACACGCCGATGTACTGTAGCACTTTGTCGTCATTGTAGATGCCATACACGGACGCCTTGGCTCCCGCTTGCGTGCAATCCGATATAAGCCCCTCCTCTGTAAGATACGGCACCCAGTCTAGATCCGCCATACGCGGGTGCGCTCCAGCTGCTGCTGCCGCTCCTCCTGCGGCTGCTCCGGCTGTTGCCCCCCCGGTTGCCTCGCTCTTCCGCTGCGCCATCTGTCTGCGCCGATACTCCTCCTGCGCCTGCATTGATTGCGAGTGGGTGGGTGGTTGTTGAAAAAAAGGAACGACAATCAGCCCACCTTCCTCCTGCACTTGCAGGACTGGGAACGGGTGGGTTGGGTTGCAGTGGGTTCGACTGGCGTGAAAGGAAGACCTCTGTCTCCATACCAGCTGCCTCGATATCCCTTTGCAGAATACGCAGCGCAGGTAGTGGTTCGCTGGGAAAAAAGGCAGATGCGTACGGGTTCTAACTCCAGCCTTTTACAAGGCACGAGCAGGTATGAACGAACGACTAGCATTAGCGGTCCCTGTCTCTGGTAACCTGCCTTTCATTCTGATATTTTTAGCGATACTATTCTAGCAGTGGCGGGTGTTTTCATTGTTATTTTATTGGCAATGAAATCTTACCCTGGCGGTGGCCTGACGGGTTTGCTCCGCATGAGCTTCAGCCGCTGCGAGCTTCTGCTTCCACTTGGGCTCCGACGACTGACCCGCATCGCCGTCGCCTGCATCCGCAAATGAACATGGTCAAGAGAAACAAATATGAAAATATTGGAGATGGATGTGTGATGTGTCGGTCAGAATATGTTTGTATCGCGTTCGATGCTTAATAGCACATGCAGCAGCGGAAGTGCAGGTGAACGCCATTTTGGCCTCAGAAATGGATTAGGATCAGGCAGTCTTTATACGGAAATTTTTGCTTACCTGCAGCAGCGCAAGTGCAGGCTAAACGTCTGGCAGCAGTCGCATTGGGTCGCAGAGACACACTGGACGACTGCCTTGAGACCAGCCGCTGCAAGGAAGTGCTGCAAGCAGGGAGACGACAGTACAATGGACATGAACAGAATGGATGGAACGTTGGATATGGAAGCATACAGGAATCCTCATTCCTATGTAGAACGAATACCTGTGAAGGTGATTGGGGGGTTGGTGAAAAACACGAGGATTCGCCACGCTTTCCGACGCACGACCAATGGCTGAGTGCTGAGGGGGTTTCACTCACCCGACGGCAGTGGAAGTAGCGAGAGCCTCCATTTCTTCCTCAACGAGGCAAGTAGTTTCAAGAAATGACAGTGGGAGAGGAGAATCTTCAGGAAAACTACTCAAGTTAGGAGTTTCGGAGCAGGGATTTGAAATAGGAAATCTACGAACTTCAGGGACTACAGATGTACTGGAAGTGGAATGACTAGCAAATGTAAATTGATCCGTGGGTGGAACGGACGGAAACATAGGAACCTCGAGATTTGTTTCTCGATTCGTACACAACCGCGCTAAAACAAATTGCAAACGTTCTGAACACCCTTGTTTACAGCGAGCTGACCCTTGGAAATTGTCGTGTTGGAGATGAGATTTCTGAAGCTCCAGTCAGTTGCTGCCAGCATGGATGTGGCCTTCCGCCACGTCGGTTGTGACCTGAAGAGTGGGGAAGCGGAAGCATCCACTTGCTTCCCATTGGTCCACCTTGGATTTATGAGATTGACTATTGTATAAGCAGGTTTCACAATGATTAACTTTATATCAGTATCAATTGAGCTTTCCGTGTATAGCTGGGAAGACGTCGCCCGAATCCCTCCGAGGAAACCCGTTCGCCCCTGCGGGTTTTCCTCGGAGGGATTTCCGTTTTCCCGCAGTCGCCTAGCGAAGCACGCGAGGGGCGGGAGCCACCCCCCCCCCTCCCGCCCGAAAACGGGCACCCCCAGCTGGCGCCAGCTGCCGATAACGCCAGCAGCCCGCGCCCTCGAGCTAGCAGTGGTCCCCCTCCCCACCGAGCCCAACCCCTCGCTCGGTTCGTGGACGGGTTCCGTCCGGTAACCCGCCCATCCCTCGCCGAGCGACGCATCGCCGACGGAACCAGTCGACGAAATTTCGCAGGCCGGACGAAATCGACGCCCATCTGCGCCGCGCTCCACTGCTATCGCCCTAGACGGGCCCGTTTCGTTCAAGCCGCTCGATCTTGGTGACATGTCGAAGGCCCCCTCCCGAACCTTGGAAGGGGCCTTTCAGCTGCATGCAAGGCGGCCCACCCCATGCCACCAACAGCCAGGTTTCACGTCGACAATAGGGCCCCGCCAGCCTCCGCGAAGAAGCTCCTCCCTCCTCCTCCTGCGTCTCGGAACGTGCCCTGCCTCCTCGCCCTTGAACCCCCCTGGTCCGTCGCAGTGGGAGGGATGGCAAACAGCTAATACCCTGCGTCCGGTCTCATTGTGTTGATGTTTCCGATTTTTACTTCCCTACTTCCTAGTCCCTGCTAGTTCCCAACTCCCCTGCACGCCCGCCCTCTCCACTGCTAGGCCTGACATGGCTACGGGCTCCGCCTCCGTACCCGTCATGAACGAGGCGACGGCTCGACGCGGCCTCATCCTTAGTGCAGGCGGGGTCGAGGTGGAGGTGTACGAGGACCAGCTGAATGCGATTAAAGAGGCGCCGAAAGGGGAGCTCGACGAGAGCATGATGGTCGCAGGCGTCGTGTACGTGTCCTGTCGAACATTTTTGGTTTGCCATGTTTGCCATTTTCGCTGACGTTGCCTTAGCTTTCCGTGCAGCCTGTTCTGTCATGAGCTGCTGTCCGTCGAGCGGCTCCCCAAGGTGTCGATCGTGACTCCAGCGCGTGCGCGTGAAGAGATGGCCCGTCCCACCCCGGTCGCTTTTGCGAACAACCACCTCGACGGCCTCCTCGGCAAGCAAGTGGTTTTCGTTCTGCTGCGGACACCGTGAGTTCGACACTCTCCCGTCGCCTTGCGTGCTCCGTCTCTAGCCCTGAACCCGTTCTCACGTGCATTGGCTCTGCATGCAGACTGAGTGTGCCTCCGTTCTCCCACTCGAGCCTGTTTATGGTATCGCGCCCCGACGATCTGCTGGCTCCGAGGCACCGTGGCAGTCGAACTCGAATGATGCACTTCGATTCGAAAGACAAGTTTCCCGATATGAACCACCAATCTTCTCTGGCGCAAGAAGTTTTCGTGTGAGTGACAGCTTTGCCACCCTGCTGTCGAGCTGCTGTTCTCGACAATCTTACTCTTCTGTCCGCTACGTCGCAGGTGGATGAAGAAGCAGCTTCGCGCCGAGTACGCGATGACCCACCAGGCTCTGACCGAGGACGACCAAGAAGTGTTGAACGTGATGGACCTTCGTCTGGAGTTGAACGAGGATTTCGACCATCTGGTAAGCTCTCCTTAGACCACCAGCGTTTTCGTCGAGCATATGTTTTGTCGCTTACGTATGTTTTGTACCCGTCGCAGACGACGACGACCTTGTCGAGCCCCTATCAAAACGGCGCGGCAGCTCGTGTCGTGCATGGGGTGCGCTGGATTCTGTCGAAATGGGACGACTTCATCCTACAGCCTCGAAAGGGCGAACTCGTGCATCTAGGGAGAACGAACCCTGGCCCAGGTGTGCTTCCGTTGTTCATGGTCAAGCTGTTTTCGAGAAAGATCGACCAGGTGGCGGTGGGAGCAGGTGTGGGAGGGGGTGCCGACCACGAGGGAGGAGGCGAGAAGACGGGACGCGTCGTGATTGAGTACAGCGTCGAGGAGGAGGCGGAGATCGAGGAGGATACATCGAGGCAGGCTCAGTACGGGGCGAGCGGCCCGGGCGGCGATGCAAACCAGGACGAGGACTGGAGCTCGGGATCGAGCTCCGGCTCGAGCTCGAGCGATGAGTCGGTCGAGGACGACGGAGAGGGCGCCGGACATAGAACGGAGCGTACGGGGGAGCACGGAGTGGCGCTCGGGGAGCGCGTGGACGAGCGAATAGAGCTTATCGAGCAGCAGGCGACAGGGGAAACCAAGGTTGTCGAGGAGCAGGAGGGCGGAGCGGCTGCGCAGGAGGGTGGGGTCGGAGGGCAGCAGCAGGTGGTGGGCGAGGCGGTTGCGCAGGAGGGCGGGGCAGGAGGGCAGCAGCAGGAGGGCGTGGTGGCTGCGCAGGAGGGTGGGGCAGGAGTGCAGCAGCAGGAGTTTAGGGTTGCGGCTGCGCGGGTGGGTGGGTCAAGAGGGCAGGAGCAGGAGGTCGGGGAGGCTGCTGAGGAGTATCGTCGAGGAGATGAGCGACAGGCCGCCGTAACAAGGAGCCACCGCACGGCCAGTGGCAGCGGACAGGCGGGCCCTTCGACCGGGTGGCGTTCGACGGCAGGCCAATCGACGGCGAACGTTGCACCGGGAGGCCAGGTCGTCGAGCTACTGCAGAGGGTCGAGAAGGTCGAGGCGTCGCAGAAGCAGCTCGTCGCCGATGTCTTTGCGAAACACACTGAGCAAGCCGGAGTATTCAACAGGTTTGCTGCGGATTTTTGGAAGGCGTGGAATACGATTTCGGAGTCGTCGAAGAGCACACTGTCGCAGTGCGCCGAGGCTGTGAAGGGTGTCACGGCGGAGAGGAACCTGTTGGAAGGGGCGCGGGCGAAGATCGACGAGATGAGCGGGAAGATCATCAAGGGGGTGGCAGCCGCCATCACAAAAGCAAGCGAGGACGCCGTTGAGAAGCAGCTCAAGCAGGTCGAGGAGCGGCTGGTTGCTGCGGTGCTGAAGGGTTTCGAGAAAGCCATCATGGAGGACATGTTCTGCTCCACCCTCCCACCCGAGACCATGAAGGAGCTGAAGGACATTGTAAGGAAAGGCTACCATGAAGCCGAAGCAGGGAGGTTGGAAGTCCTCACCGAAGCGATGGCGAGAGGTTTTCAGCGCTCGGCGGGCCCGTCGATGAGGTCGCGTCAGGAGGGTGTGGGAGGGGTTCGCAGCGGGGCTGAGCCTCGTGGTCACGAGCGGTCGGTTCCTCTGTCTTCTTCGGTGGGAGGACATGTCGGCAGCCCGGTTGGATCCCCACCGGCGCGTGGCCGTCATCCCGTCGCCAAGCCCGTCGAGGAAGTCATCGTACTCGACCAGTCGCCCCGCCCGAAGACCTCCGTAGCGGCTCCGATCGATCCACCTGATGCGTTTGCTTCGATGCGGGACATGCTACAAGGCCTGGGGAAAACGGGTGGAAAAGGAGTGGTCGCGGGGGAGAAAAGTGGTGCCCCGAACGAGCCCGTCGCCTCGACCGGGAACAGAGCTCTAGGAATGCGAGATGCCTCTACCCCGTCAGGCGGCGGTGCGGGGAAAGGAGCGGGAGAAGCAAGCGCTGGGTTGCTGTCAAAGACTAAAGCGGCATCAGCTGCGCAAGGCGGTGGTGCTGGCCTTGCTGTCGGGCTTGTGGGAAATAGGGCGTCTTCCTCGACCCCTCCAGCTGCTCCTGTCGCCGCTGCTCCGTCCCTAGGCAACGTTTGCCTTAGCGATCCGGGCTCCCCTTCAACGTCGAAGAAGAAGCCGGCTGCGTCGAAGTCGTCGAAGCGCGCTGCACACGCGACATGGAGCCTTGACGTGGTGGAGCTGGCCAGCGTCCCTGGTCAGGCGCCTGTCGAGAAGACCTCTATTGTCGTTGCTGCTCGACAGGAAAAGGCGACGAAGGCCAGGGTCACACCTCCTCGACCGGACGACCAAGGCAAGACGAGAGGCTGCAAACGTCCGTTCAAAGGACCGGGTTTCGGGTTGCGGAAGGGGAAGCCGGTTTCCGAGCAGACCGTCGGCAGGAGGAAGCGGTTCCTTGGCACTTTTGAAACAGAGAAGGACCAAAAGTTCTGTACGGCCGTCTGCTGGCGCGTGTCTTCCCCGACGTTGTCATTACGGAGTACGAAGGGTACACGGCGCAGGATGAGGAGGACTGGAAGGTCTACCTCGATGCGGCCGCAGAAATGCCAACCGGCGCTTGGAGCGTGGCGCAAGAACAAGGGGAATGTCATTTCGACGAGCAAGTCCTGTCGAAGTCATGTTGCTAGACTCTGCTGTCGAGTTCCTGCTGTTTTGGTGAATTGTCGAACACCAGCTGTTTTGCGGTGAATGTGCTGTCGGTCGAATTCTGGCCTCTTGACTAACGCATTTGTTGCGATGTGCAGTTACCTGTCGCTGTTGGCGACGGCTAAAAAGGAAGTGAAAGCTGGAACCGAGAGGGGAATCGCGCTGTGCGTGGCGATTGGTAAGGTCGCGACGCTTGGCTTGAAGCACGGGAATCTAATTTACCCGGTCCCGAAGGGCATGGCGGCGACACCGCACATGATGGCCATCGCAGCAACTGTGGCGAGCTTGTGGGCGGCCTGCAGGAAGTTGTCGAGGGAGGATATTAAGAAGGATGCCCTAGCTGCCGCAAACGCGGCGATCTACGCCCCGGAGACTGCAAAGAAGGCTTGTGTGGCTGCCATGTCTGCACTCGTGTCCATACTTTTGCACGTCGGCAAGACGTTCCCGGCGAAGCAGTGGCCCGATCACCTGTATTCGTCGGCTGTCGAAGGTCTCGGCTCGACGGACGCCATACTGCTGCAGATGCTGCGCGTGGCAGCACAGGTCTGTACGCAATGGTGCTGCTGTCGAGCTGTTGCCCGCTTGCTGGAGGACGCGGGCTATGGCAGCCTGGCTATGCCAGAAGGAAAGAGCAAGGCGAAGCAGGGCGACGAGGATGCAGCTGAGACGGAAACGGGCGGGCAAGGGGAGTAGTCTAGGCGGGCACTTTGCGTGGGGGTGTTTGCTATTCTCGACAGTTGTGTTTGTTTTTTCCATAGTTTAATCGACAGAATGTACATGTTGGATGGATCTTGACTTTCCGTTTGCGATAATGCTCAGAAGGTTCATACAGGCGAGTTGGTCGGTCAGTAATGAGAATCTGCCATGCAATCTCTGAAAGAACACCCTACCCTAGTTTCCCCCCTCGTCACAATTGCCTAACGAACTTGGGCTCTCGCCCAATGTTTTCATGAATTCTTTCCATTTGTCTTTGAACACGTTCTCGGCCCATTTCGTGGTTCGAAGCTCGACGCGAATGAGCTCCCGCGTGATCCTGAGGTGATCTTTGTCCTTCCGGTTGTCTTCTGCTGTCTCAACTTTGCGCTTCTTCGTGAGCTGCCTCCCCGAATCTTCTTTGAGAACGAGCCCTTCAGCCAGCATGTTGATCGAGTGGTTCGCGACTATTGAGTCAAGCTTATCAATGATCGTTGACGTAGACGCGCTGCTGTCGTCGACCCTGAACATCTCGACGGCCCTCATGACAACCTCCATCTTCCGCAATTTCGACTCGACAGCTTTTGGGGTCGATGGCTTTTCTTTTGGCTGGTCCACCGCAACGGGGGGAATGGTGGGAGGAGTCGGAGTGAACTTGCTGAACTTGACGGCGAAACCCCTTCTGTAAGCGTGTCGAAGACTGTGTCCGTTGTTCAGTGGGCTTGGCCCGTCCCAGTACGACCACGCCTGCCGCACGGTCTCGCAATTGCACCACGGCCACACCACTGCGTCGAAGAATCCTTGGTCGAGCTGGCTGCCCTTGCTCTGTTGAGTGGGCGTTGATTGAGGGGGTTGCTGTGGTGGCTGGGTGGTTTCTTCGGTCGCCGTCTGCGGCACACTCTCGCTCCCCCCCACATTTGCAGCTGCGGTTGTCGCGGCGGTAATCTTCAGTGCGTCGAACGCTTTCTGCAGTAGTGCGAGTGCTTCGGCCTTCGCCTCCAACTCCACTTGCATCGCGCCCTTCTCCCACTCCAATGACTCGACCTTCTGCTCGAGGCCCTTGATCTTGATTTCTTTTTTCCCACCCTCCTCCTTGTGTAAGTTAACCTCTGCCCGAAATTGCGTGATGAGGTGCTTGGTGTTGAGTTCAAAGGATGCGTCCTGCGCACAAGTTCACGAGCGGTAGGTAAGTGGGCTGATGCAATCTGTTCGGATTAAGATTTAGAAGGGCCATCTTACCGAAGCTCTCGACAGCATGGGGTTGGTCCACATCTCGATGCCGTACTTGTCGAGCAGGTACACGTCAAGCGCCCATTTTTGGAAATCCATGTCCTTACACAGACCGGACATCTGTGCATAAGGGTGACGCTCGCAGTCGCAAACAGTCACTCCGTCGAAGGGGTGGTCGTCACAATGGACGTAGTACATCGCAAGATCCTCGGCGATGGCCATTCGGGCGGCTTGCAGGGCCTTCAAGAAACTTTTCGCTGCGAAGAACATATGCTCCTTGTCCTGCTCGTTGTTCCATTCCATCGCCTGAACAAGAACAAACGTGGTGACATTGAGAGATAGACGGGCAAAACTTGCATTCGATGATCACGCTAAGCGCTCGACGTATCCATACCTCGTCGAGCCACTGCTCCGCCTTAGGAAATATGTGCTCCTCGATAGCCTTCACGACCTTCGCGGGTACTTCGCTCTTCGATCTTCCAAGGTAATAGTCACCCGGTTCCGTCGTGAAACCCGCTTGCAGCTGGATGGCCCCGCGCGGGATGCCTGTGACGTATGACCTGCGCATCTCGTTCATGTCCCATTGACCCAGCTGCGCGATGTTGTCGAGTTCATAGTTTTTGTCAGCGAGGATCTGTGCCGCAGACCGTCGAAAGATATGTGTGACTTTCGTCAGGATCCACTCCGCGCTTTTCATCGCCCAGTTAATCCATTTGGCATGAGTCACGTACGGCAACTCGGTCTTGTCCTTGTCGAATAGGGCGAAGAACAGGTGCTTCTTTGGCCAATTTGTCGGGTTGCTGAAATCCAAGGGGGGCACGATCTTATCGTTGTTGTAGTGGAGCGGCACAAGGTCGAAAATGAAATGTATCCACATGAACACTGCTCCGAAGCCGCACTGCCGGAAGTCCATGTGTTGAGTCAGGTACAGGTGGCCGAGCTTGCTGTCTTTGATGGTCTTCGAGCTGCGATAGGCGACCACGAGAACGTGGAGCGACGATTCCCCCTTGCTGTTCGTGATGGGCGGAAGGACGTGAGTGAAAATATTGCAGTAGTGGATCTCGCGGATGCTTATCCCCCTGCCCAGCATGTGATGCGCCATCAGGATCATCACCCTCACGGCCAAGGCCCTCCACAGCGACTGACTGGGGAAACTCATCGGCTCCCGAAAGTACTCCTTGGCCCAGTACGGCAGGATGTCTGAAACGAGAATGCGGAACTGCTCCTCCGTGTAAACATCTTCGAGCGAGCCCCGGTGTGGATCGACGCACTGCCTGCATTGAGTGGGCAGATACAGCGAGTACTTGGGTGAGAATTTGAGTGAAAAGTTTTAGAGTCCGGTGTATGGCAGCCTACTTACTCGAACTGAAAGTCGTGCACCTGCCGCAGCTTGACCGCAAGAAGCTGCCGGGCCTCGGTGATGTCGTCCAAGGGTTTCGTTAGTGGCTCGTCGAAGAGTATGGCCTCTACTCTGCAGAAGCACGTCAGCGCAGTAAGGCGCGCCAGCATCATCGGAGGGGTGCTTTTTTTCGCCTTCCTTCCAGCGACTCTGGACTGGCCTGTATCCAACGATGCCGCCTGTTGGTCAGTTTCAGTCGACATGTATTCGACGTACGCACGCAAGCGCCATTTCGTTATTCTCGGCCCATGCAGGTGCTCCTTGTTACGCAGCGCCTCCCTCCATCTCGGCCCCATATCGTCGCCGATCTCCCTACCGATCTCGTCCTCGTAGATCACCTGCTCCTCTTTAGGCACTCCGTTGCTTCTCTCGGGTGCCAGAATTTTACAGGCCCAAGCTTTGTAGTGCATGCTTCCAGAGACATAGTTCGGCCGTGTGGAATCCTGGTCAACTCCCAGCAATGGAACCTCACACCGGAGAATCCTGCTTTTAAGTGTTCCGGTCGCCAAGTACGGATTGTCTGCGCCCGGTTGGTCGCCGAGAATGTGCGCGGCATCATCCTCTGATATATTTGCCGCAGCAGGCCGCAGAGGGTCTGGCGGTTCGACATCGTCCGCCTCCTGCTGTTCTCCCGTCCAAACATCCTCATCGTCCGTCGCTTCAGGGACGTTCTTGGCTAAGTCCTCTCTGCTTGGTCTCGTCGAAGTGCGCCTAGGAGCGGCGGGGGCGGCTCGAGAAGCGGATGTGCCGGCTGGGGGTGGTTGGCGAACCTCAGGCGGAACAGCCCTCGCTCTTCTACGCCGCCCACCTGTCGAGGTCGGTGCACCAGCAGAAGGTTCCGTCGAGCGGTGGGTTGTCGACGATGGTGCATGGTGAGCTGGAGCCTCGTGTGTAAAGGGGGCATTTGTTGTCGAGATGGGTTCTATGACAACAGGTATGGATTGACCTGTGGAAGGGAATTCGGTCTGTGCACCACCCACTTCAACAGTGACCGGAATACCCGTCGAACCCTGGTCCGTAACAACCGGCTGTATTACTACCGGTATGGCTCGCGACGTCGAGGTGGGCGCTGCCACCTCCGGTATGCCACGCGTTGTCGAAGGAGGCGCGGAAGAAGGGGGTGATGTTGAGATGGACTCCATTTCGACAGGTATCCGTCCTACGTCCGCTTGCCGGGAAGGCGCTGTCGTCGACGGATCAGTCTCCATCAGTGCCCACCGAAAGCTACCGTTTCTCCCTAAATCCTGGCCTGCTGAGAAAACTGTGGTGCTTCTACTATGAATTCAGGTTTATACAGCGACCTTGGGCTGATGTTGCTCCCCGTGGAGACTGAGACATTTGACATGAACGTTTGACTGCGACAGACGTAACCCGTCGCCCATCCGACAGTGTCAGCTCGCTCGACTGACGAGGCGACGGGTCGGCCGAAATCGACGTGACGTCTCCGTCGATTGCGACCGTCGGCCGGTTGCGAAACAGGTTTCGCAACCGTCGACCGTTGAAGGAATATATTAGAGAGCGTAGCGATAACGAGAGAGTTTCTGCTGTGGGAATGATGTTGCGCCAGCAACTTGGTAGAGTTTCGGTAGCGTTTGCCTCTAAGGACTTGGTGAGAATTGAAGTAGCATTTGGACTTCACTAGGAATCTAGAATATGTATCAAACACATAAGCAAACACAAACATATATAGGCAGGCGAGGGTTTCACAAGAGGTTGCGTGGGCGCTGCAAGTAACCCAAACCCCACGAAAGTGGTGTGTGGGTGAGCGAACGCGCCTCGCCAATTTCCCAACCCAGCTCAGCATCGACTTCTCGCTTCCGTGCACACCACTCCACCAACACAGCAAGGAGTGGTGCGACTCTCAAGGAAGCACCAACGACTCCCACGGACTCTCGCTTCTTCATGCGAACTCCTGCGCAGTTGCACATAGTCACACGTAGTCACACCCGACCTCCACCGAACTCATTCGTCGGTGCCGAGTAGACTCAGTCGTTAGGCGTCGACCTGCCAAGTCAAAGGTCATCGAGGGCCCTTGCTGTTGTAGGGCGCTCTAACACTCCCCTGCCATACTATAGCAAGGCCCTTAATAATCACAGGGCATGCATACACACATACACGCCAAAACAAAGGGAAACACACACAAACGAAGCACTCTCAAAGTGCAAACACGCACCGCACCAGCCATGGATAGGCCATGGCACCATCTTCATCATGGAGTGTTTAGGTTGTCACAATATATCTGTAACTGCCTGTAGCTATAGTTAGTGTAGTTATTATAAACTTTGTTTGGTGGTGCACCTTCTTTGTTTCTTTGCTATATGTTGTTGCCAACCTATAGTGAAGCCCTCTTTCTCCTCTCTCAACTTTCTCGACATTCTCCTCACCCTACAACTCGATCTACTAAGAACCTAAACTATGGCTCCTAAGCCAACCTATGCCTAGACTTTAATATGGTATTCAGAGCAGGTAACGTCCTCCTGCTGCCTTCCTGCTTCCGCTGCCTATCGTCCTGCCGCGCGCCTTGGGCGCGCGGCGTAGGCGCACGGCGATTTTCTGCCCGCCGTGTGCTCGGTGCGCACGGCGGGCTTCTGCCCGACGTGCGCTCTCGGTACGCGGTGTCTTCCTGCCCCACGCGTGGCCTGCCCTCACGCCGCCTGCGCGCCTGCCTCACGTCCACACGCAGGCCTTTTTTGCCCGCCCGTCCCCTCCGCTTCGCGGCGCCTTGCGAGGCGCCGCTCCTGCTCGTCGCGATGCACCTGCGGGACCCGGGCGTCGCCGCTCCTGCTCGTCGCGACGCCCCTGCAGGACCCGCACGGCGTCGCCTTGCTCGTCGTGACGCCACTGCGGGACCCGCGGGGCGTCGCCAGTGCTTGTCGCGGCGCCCCTTGGACGCCGCCCCTGCTCGTCGCGGCGCCCCTGGGGCGTCGCGCCTACTCGTAGCGGCACCCCTTGGGCGCCGTTCCTACTCGTCGCAGCGCCCTCCCCCCTGGCCACCGCCTCTACCTCACCTGCGCCCGCGCCAGCGTTGCAGCCGAGCGCGGGCCTACCTTGCACCAGCGCCGCCCCTGGACCTCAGCAGCAGCCCCTGGAGCAGCCGCCCCAGCAGCAGCAGCCCCTGGAGCCGCCGCCCCAGCAGCAGCAGCCCCTGGAGCCGCCGCCCCAATAGCAGCAGCCCCTGGAGCCGCCGCCACTGCAGCGGCCGCCCCAGCAGCAGCAGCGCCTGGAGCAGCCGCCCCAGCAACAGCAGCCCCTGGAGCAGCCGCCCCAGCAACAGCAGCCGCCCCTGGACCCCGCGAGCCGCCCCAGCAGCAGCCCACGGCGCCGACCCCACAGCTGTATGCACTGCCGCTCCTGGACTCGGTATGGCTGCCCATGCCTGTGCTGCCTGTTGTCGCCTGTTGCTGCCTGTGCTTGTGCTGCTTGTTGCCGCCCGTTGCTGCCCGTGCCTGTGCTGCCTGTTGCCGCCCGTTGCTGCCCGTGCCTGTGCTGCCTGTTGCTGCCCGTTGCTGCCCGTGCGTGTGCTGCCTGTTGCCGCTCGTTGCTGCCTGTGCCTGTGCCGCCCGTTGCCGCCCGTTGCTGCCCGTGCCTGTGCTGCCTGTTGCTGCCTGTTGCTGCCCGTGCCTGTGCTGCCCGTTGCTGCCCGTGCCTGTGCTGCCTGTTGCCGCCCGTTGCTGCCCGTGCCTGTGCTGCCCGTTGCCGCCCGTTGCTGCCCGTGCCTGTGCTGGCGTTGCCCCCTGTTGCTGCCCGTGCCTGTGCTGCCCGTTGCTGCCTATTGCTGCCCGTGCCTGTGCTGCCTGTTGCCGCCCGGTGCTGCCCGTGCCTGTGCTGCCCGTTGCCGCCCGTTGCTGCCCGTGCCTGTGCTGCCCGTTGCCGCCTGCTGCTGCCCGTGCCTGTGCTGCCCGTTGCTGCCTGTTGCTGCCTATGCCTATGCTGCCTGTTGCTGCCTGTTGCTGCCCGTGCCTGTGCTGCCCGTTGCCGCTCGTTGCTGCCCGTGCCTGTGCTGCCCATTGCTGCCCGTGCCTGTGCTGCCTGTTGCCGCCCGTTGCTGCCCGTGCCTGTGTTGCCTGTTGCCGCCCGTTGCTGCCCGTGCCTGTGCCGCCCGTTGCCGCCCGTTGCTGCCCGTGCCTGCGCTGCCCGTTGCCACCCGTTGCTGCACGTGCCTGTGCTGCCTGTTGCCGCCCGTTGCTGCCCGTGCCTGTGCTGCCCGTTGCCGCCCGTTGCTGCCCGCGCCCTTGTGCGCTCTGCTCTGCCTGCGCCCTCGTGCGCTCTGCTGCTGCCCGCGCCCTCGTGCGCCCTACTGCTGCCCGCGCCCTTGTGCGATCTGCTCTGCCTGCGCCCTCGTGCGCTCTGTTTTGCTCTGTCGCCCCTACCCCCCCCCCCCCCCCCCCCCTTCTTCGTCTCCTTGCTGCGCATGCAGCCGTGGAACGGAGGCTATGGGGGTGGCGGGTATGGGGGTGATGGGTATGTGTGATCCCCTTCCCCTCCTCCTCCTTTCTCTCCCACTGCTGCAGCTGCCGCTGGGGGGGGGTGGGTGTGAGGGTGTGGGGGAGCTGGGGGAGAGGTGCTAGGGTTGTCAAGGAGTGTGGAAGGGGGAGTTGGAGGACTGAGGAAGGTTCTAGGAAGCAGCCGCCTTGGAGCCAGCAGCTTCACCTGCCAGCAGCCTCTCCTCATATAGTCCCTCCTCCTCACTTGCCCTCTCCTTCTGCTGCGCTTGGTGTACCCCTTCAGTGGGTGTCTCTGCATTAGCTTCTACTGCAGGCAGTTATGGGGGAGTGTCAAAATATATCTGTAACTGCCTGTAGCTATAGTTAGTGTAGTTATTATAAACTTTGTTTGGTGGTGCACCTTCTTTGTTTCTTTGCTATATGTTGTTGCCAACATATATTGAAGCCCTCTTTCTCCTCTCTCAACTTTCTCGACATTCTCCTCACCCTACAACTCGATCTACTAAGAACCTAAACTATGGCTCCTAAGCCAACCTATGCCTAGACTTTAATATAGGTCTCACCCCCCTCTCTCGAAAGCCTCACCTGCCCCACAGCCTCGAAGCAACGACTGAAGGCGAGGAAATGCAATGCCTTCGTGAGGTAGTCAGCAGGCTGCTCGCTCGTAGGGATGTACTGCAGCTGCAGCTTCTTGCGCTTGACCATGTGCTGCAGCCACATGTGACGACGCTCCATGTGCTTGAGGCTCCCCTTGAGCCCCATGACACCTGCCACTGAAATGGCGGAGGAGTTGTCCACAAAGAGAGTCATGGGCTCCTCACTCCTCAGCAGTTGAAACTCTGCCAGCAGGAAGCGCAGCCTGCGCGCCTCCTTCCCAGCCTCCACAGCAGCAACATACTCAGACTCAGTGGAGGAGAGGGTGGCGCAACGAATCCTCTGGCTCGCCCATGAGACAGCAGCACCCCCGAGCACGAAGACATAGCCACCTGTGCTGGTCCTGTTCTGCTTGTCCCCTGCATCATCAGCATCGGCGTAGCCCACCAGCTCCAAGGACTCCGGCCCACCACCAAACTCCAGCGCCACATCCCTGGTCCCCACCAAGTACGTCAAGCACCGGTCCAACTCCTTCCAGTGCTGATCACTCCGCACAGTCTGGCCCGACCCCAGCTTGCTGCAGGCGAACGAGATGTCGGGACGGGTGGTACAGGCCGCGAACTGCAAGGATCCCACCTTCTGCCTGTACTCCTCCTCTTGGCGAGACTGCCATCCCACATCCTCGAAGGTCTGTACACTGAAAGGGTCAGATGAAAGAGGGGTGCGAGGCACTCGCAGCGGCTGCTCCCCGTCAAAGAAGCGCCTATGGACCTTGTCCACATAGGCCCCCTGGTGCAGCCACAGCCTCCTCGTAGGCCTGTCCCGAATCAGCTGCAACCCCAGATACTTCTCCACAGGGCTAATCTCCCGCAGCTGAAACGCACTCTGCAGCAGCTCACGCAGCTCCCCAAGCATGCTCTGACTGTGGCTGGCAGCAAGCAAGTCATCCACATACACCAGCAGCCAGCACATCTTCCCCTCAGCATCAGTCTTGAAGTACAGAGCCTCATCCACCTTGCTCTTCTTCCATCCAGCCCCAAGCAGCACCCCATCCAAGGCCTCATACCATAGCATCGGGCTCTGCTTGAGCCCATACAGACTCTTCACCAACTTACAGACACGAGGAGTCCCATCCTCGTAGTAGCTCGGCTGCTCCATGTAAAGGTCTCTGTCCAGCACGCCATGGAGGAACGCGTTCTTTACATCGAGCTGCATCAGGTCCAAATCAAGTGCAGCTGCAATCGCCAGAAGCACACGCGCTGTCACATAGCTTCCCACAGGGGCGTACGTCTCCTCATAGTCCACCCTTGCCACCTGCGTGAACCCCTTCACCACCAGCCTCGCCTTCTCACGCTCCACTATCCCATCAGGTCGGAACTTGGTGTTCAAAATCCAGCGGTTCTTCATCACATTCACCCCTGCTGGACGTGGAACCAACTCCCACGTCCCCTGCTCAATCAAGCTCCGCATCTCTTCATCCATCGCCTCTTTCACCTTGTCACCCTTCTAGCAGCCCAAGGCCTCCTTCACTGTCATTTTCGCTATGTCCCACTGCCTCTCAGGATCAGCTGCAACGTCCGGGTCCAGGTCAGTCCACTCCTCGTCCTCCTCCTCGTCATCCAAGCCCGCTGGCTCAACCACTTCATCCCAAGCGTATCGAACAGGCGGGACACCACGACTGATGCGAGTGGAGCGACGCAGTGGTGCAGTGGTCGTCCCAGAAACCAACACACGACCACCATCTCTAATTCCTCACATCTCCTGCTCCCCTGTCTGCGGCTCCCCTGTCTGCTGCTCCCCTAGCTGCTGGTCCACCATCTGCTGCTCCTCAATCCGCTCCTCCCCTATCTGCTGCTCCCCACTCTGCTGCTCCCCACTCTGCTGCTCCCCTATCTGCTGCTCCCCAATCTGCCGCTCCCCTGTCTGCTGTACTCCATCCATACTGCTCTCGTCCTGCAGCTGCTCAGTCTCAAGGCGCTGCCCATCGGTGATCTCCACAGACGGTGGCACCTCCATCCCCCCCCCCACCAACGGGCGGCGCCGTGGAAGACGAAGAGGAGGGCGGAGCAGGTGCAGGAGGGATGGAGGGGGAAAGGGGAGATGGAATAACAGGAGGAGGAGGGGAAGCGAGGAAGAAGGCGGGACAGGGGGAATCACACGAGGGTAGACTGAAGGCGGAGGTGGGGTGGGGACCAAAGTAGGGACATAGGGCATAGCAGGAGGTGCGACCACCTCCTCCTCCTCCTCCGCCTCCTCAAGAGTGATCGGGAAGAGTGAGGGAAGGGGCTCATAGGGCATCGAACGCCCCCCATGCTCCTGCTGATGCCAAGCCTTCCATCCTGCTGGGGACATGGTCTCATAGAACACAGCTTCCACAGTGGTGATGAGGCGGTTGGACTCCAAGTCCAGCACGGTCCAGCCTTTGCTCGCAGCTGACACACCCAAGTGCAACCCCCAGCGAGCCTTAGGCGCCAGCTTCCCCCCACGCTGCGACCGTGGTACCATGTACTGCAGCATGCAGCCCCAAACACGCACCATACTGACATCAGGCTTGCGTCGGAAGGCGAGCTCGTACGGCGTCACACCAAAGGGTAGTGAGGCGTGCTCCACGCGGTTGCGCACCCAGACGGCCTAAGCCAACGCCAGGTGCCACCAGTGATGCTGCACACCCATGTGCAGCAACATCGTCTGCACCGCCTCCACAATGGTGTGCATCTCCCTCTCGGCCATCCCGTTCTGCTCCGGCGTGTACGGGCACGTGAGGTCATGGATGATGCCTTTCCCGTCGAGGAAGAGTGTGAAGTCGTGCCCCAGGAACTCGCCACCCCGATCAGTGTGTAGCGCCTGCACCGTGGTCTTGCACTGACGCTCTGCCATCGGGAGCCACTTCTGGAACGCCGCCAGCGCATCACTCTTCTGGGCCAAAGGGTAGGCCCAGACATAATGCGTCTTGCGATCCTTCAGCACCAAGAAGTAGCGGCTGCCGTCCTTAGCTGCTTCACGGAAAGGGCCACACAGGTCAGCATGCACCACCCCGAGCAACTCATCCCCCTCCTCTCCCACAGAAGGAAAGGTATGACGAGTGATCTTTCCCCCAACACAGGAAACACAAGGTATGCCTGACTTGCCCCCCTTCTCCAAATCCAAGCCCTTCAATGACCCGTGAGCCGCTGTGCGCTCGATGGCATCAATACCAACGTGTGCCATACGCGCACGCCACAGGTCCCCCTTAGACCGCACGCCCGTCGCCAAGGTACGAAGTGCCACCGTTTCGCCTTCCTGCTGCTGCGTCAAACACGGCTGGAAGTTCGTGCAGAGAACACGCCCCTTGAACTCCGCACGACCAAGGAGCGATCCATCTGGTGCCCGCAGCAAAGTCACATCCCCGGCATCCAGCAGCTGCACACCACTATCACGCAGCTGCCCAGCAGAGAGAAGACTCGCCTGCACTCCTGGTACGTACAGCACGTCCGGCACCAAGACACGCCTGCCCCCCTCTCCAAGAAGAGCGACTGTGCCCCGCCCCTGCACCTCCTGAAGCGCGCCGTTGAAGCCAGTAACCTGTTTAATACTGCCGCCGCTGCTCATCTCCACAAAAGCAAAACGATCTCCCATGAGATGGTGGGAGCATCCGCTATCAAGCAGCACGACGCTCGGGTTCGCCTTCACAGCAGCTGCAACAGCCTGTAAGCCCTCCCCGGCCTCAGGCTCTAGCACAACGAGAGGAGTCTGCTCCACAACGGGCTTCACCATCGCACACGATGATTGCCCGCTCCCCTTAGAGCCATCACCCCCCTTTCCGCTGCTACCTCAAGAGCCCTCTCCACCGGTGTCTGCCTCCTTATCCGCCCGCTGCTGACAGTACTTAGCAATATGCCCTATTTGTCCACACACATAGCACTTCCCTTTGAAGCCCCCTTTCCCCCCCTTTGACTGGCCATCCTTACCCCCTTTCCACTTCTCCCCTCCCCCACCAAGCCCACCCCCATTCTTAGGCTGCTGCTGCTGTGCCGTAGTGGGAGGGGAAGGGAATGAAGTCTGTTGGAATTGGGGCTTACCTTTCTTGGTAAAGACCTGGTTAGCCTGGGGAAGGAATTGGTCCTTTCGTCCCTCTGACGCCAGCGTACATTCCTCCTCGATGATGTAGCTAGCGAGGGTGTTCTCGTCCAACTCCTTACGCACCTGCGGCAACTTCAGCATCCTGCGTAAGAGGTTGTACTGCTGCGGCAACCCCTTCACAACGTGAGTGATGTACGACGCCTGCGAGTAATCTACGCCGGCCATCCTCAGGTTCACTAGGATCTGCTGCGCACGGTTGCAATAGGATGTAGCGGACTCGTGCTCTCCCATCTCGAGGTTAGTGAGCGCCTGCTCTAACTGACCGATGTACAGATCGTCCTTCGCCATGTACGTGCGCATAATAAACTGCCATGCCTGATAGCCGGCATCGACCTTCATGCGACACGCCTTAAGGGCGATCTGTACGGTTGGGGAGCAGCATCGGGAAATGGTGGTGAATGTCAGCAACTGCATCGCGCGGAACTGAGAGAGATGCGCAAGCACACGCGCTGGTGGAATGGGGGTGGTGCCATCTATGAATCGCTTTAGCTGAGCGATCTCAAGCTGCGGCTCGATGGATTCTGTCCACGTCGACAGGTCGTGACGTCCTTCTAACGGACTAGTGACAACGATCTTGTCTGAAGTAGCCATAGTTGGGGGCTATTCCCTCGTCCCTCGACATCGATCCAATCGGGGTAACGCCCGGCATAGTCTCACTATCGAACTCTTCTGCAATTCCTCCCCCAGCAACGCTTCGCCGTCCTACATTCGCATGCTCTCGTAACGCTGCCGCACGTTGAACATGCGAAGATTAACTCTTCAACGGTAGTGAGCTAGACTACAGGGTTGGCACGAACTACTAGAGGTGATCGTAGCTTTGCCTGGTTCCTTAGTGTTTGCACATTCACGGGAGAAATTGGCAAGTGTTTTTCACTAGCAAAGGTTGGAATCCCAGAATAATCCAAGAAGCAAAGACAACAATGACTACATCAGGCACCTAGCAACCCTACAGCTAGCTTGGTCGACCGCCTGCCAGCATTGCGTAGAGGAGCTGCGCCAGCACTGCAGAAGGGCGACCTGCCAACAAAGCAGGTCGACGGCGTGCCCCGTAGAACACAGCAGTGCGCGTGCTCGCAGGTGTGCGCAGACGATTGACCCGACTTGCCTCGTTGGGCATCCGTCGGCTGTTGTCTGCGCCTGACAAGCCACATCGACTTTGGGATACCAGCCCGAAGTCGCCTGCGCCATCGCGATCTTGACGACGTTCGCGAGCCTCCGCAGAACTCGTCGAGCAGGTTACCCGGTCGACCTGGTCGACCCCTGGTACTCTGGTCGACCCCCAGGTGCCTCCGGTCGACCACTGGGTCCCTCTGGTCGACCACCAGGCGCTCCTGGTCGACCACAACTCCCGTCGAGCTACCCCCTGGTCGGCGGACCCCTTCCGTCAACCACAACTGCTCTGTCGACTTCCTGATCGAACTGCAGGTCGACGGACTGCTTCGTCGACCTCCCTGACGGCCCACCCGTCGCACAGACCAGTCAGTTGCAGCTGTCGAGCTCCTTGGTCGACAGCAACACCACAGCGGTCCGCTGCAGCTCGACGTAACCTGTCGAGCAGCTATCCCACTGTGAACAGTCGGCTGCTACTCCCGTGCATCCGACCAAGTCGTCGGCGTTGCCCAAGCGAGGGCGGGGCCAACACTCCATTCCTGTTAACAGAACACGCTCCTGTACACCGCCGACGCTAGCCGTACTAAACCGAGTTGGTCCTCGCAGGACCCCACGCGACATCAACCCATCAAACTCCTCGTCATCGCTATTTCCGCCATCGACAGCCATATCCCACGCACTAGTACCTCCCGCAACTTGCTCAACATTCTCTACACGTGGCGAAGGGTCCTCACGACGCCGACGCGAGCGCAATCCCTCCAACATTAGCTCGTATTCGATATCACTAATCTCACCACGAGAATGACGAGCCACGAGATCCTCCTCTAGAGCGCGCAAATTACCGGCCTCCACGTTCGCCTCCTCTTTACGACGTCTCTATAAGGTACCACAAATTAAAATAAAGTGCCCCTTCCTTAATTCCCTCGTCTCGGGGTTGTCAGAACATGTCTATAGCTTATACTGCTGTGTAGGCTGTAGTGGGATATCCCATAGGGGGTACAACCCAGTTAGGGTTTCACATTTGTACTGCTTTCACTCTTAGTTCACCTCATTCCTGCTTACTCATTTCACTTGGTATAGAGCTAGGTCCCTCCAGGACCGAATTTTTTTTTTTGGGCCCACCGAAGCGCGCCCCCGAGGCGCAATTTTTTTTTAGCGACCCCTCGAGTCGCCCTCTCCCCTGCGGCCTCGCCGCCCACTCTGTCGCGGCCCCGCCCTGCTCCTTACGCGGCCCCGCCGCCTGCTCCTTACGCGGCCCCGCCCCGGCCCTTACGCGGCCCCGCGTCGCCTCCTACGCGGCCCTTACGCGGCCCCGCGCCGGCCCCTTACGCGGCCCTTACGCGGCCCTTACGCGGCCACGCCGCCGGCTCCTTACGCGGCCCCGCGCCGGCCCCTTACGCGGCCCTTACGCGGCCCTTACGCGGCCACGCCGCCAGCTCCTACGCGGCCCCGCGCCGGCTCCTTACGCGGCCCGTCCCCGGCCCCTACGCGGCTCCGCGCCGGCTCCTACGCGGCTCTTACGCGGCCCCGCGCCGGCCCCCCCCCTTACACGGCCCTGACGCGGCCACGCCGCCGGCTCCTACGCGGCCCCGCGCCGGCTCTCACGCGGCCCCGCAGCTGGCTCCTACTCGGCCCCGCAGCCGGCCCCTTAAGCGGCCCCACCGCCGGCCTCCTACTCGGCCCTGCCCCGGCTCCTTCGCGGCCCTGCCCCGGCTCCTACGCGGCCCTACCGCCGGCCCTGACGCGGCCCCGCCCCGTCTCACTTCTACGCGACCCGAGCCGCCTGT